TGACGCGTCCCATACAACTTCTGAGAAGAAAACTGTCCGACCTCGAACTTTCTCTGTTGGAAGACGCAGAAGTGATGGATATCACTGAACACCCCCAGATTGCCACGGAGACCGCCATTCTCGCGGGTGAGACACCACCGGTCTTGAGATCTCAAAAAGGTCCCAGAAACCGTGTTCCAAGTGCGGATTATCTGAGAGTTACCCCACTGACGTCAACAATAAAGGATCAGCTATCCAGTCTCGAAGAAATGATTTCCGCTCAAATGAATGGAGAATCCACCGATGACGCGGACGTTCACCCCGTCGTAAAAAGTGGCAGTCAGAAGAAACACGAACTACATGATCTGTTTATGCAGATAAACAATGAGATAAACACGATCAAGACCTACTGCAGGACGCAGTTGTCCAAGAAGGGCACAGACGCCGTGATGAACGTGCTCCATAAAGTCCGAACTCATGTGACGAGCATAGTAAACGTGATGTCGCTGACAAAGAAGAAACATCCAAAAGCTTTAGACAAGCGTGCAGCGACGGTCACCACCGATTGCGTCTTCAGCCGACCACCTGCAGAATACCAAACGGAGGTGGTGGTGATGACAAAGTCGTTTTCAATGGAGAATTCAGATTACCGCAAGTCGTCCACTGCTGCTTCCACGAGCGACGATACGTGGAAGTACTCGACAGAGCTTAAAAGCTCCTGGAAAGGAGTCCTGCAGAGTGAGGGCGACGAAGAAAGCGAGCCACCTCTAATTGCAACCGTCGAATGCACTACAGAAGACGAGACGCCCACACCCGTTGCTCCTCCGCGACGGCGTCGGACTCGAAGTGTAGAGACGGAGCCTACAGAACCCCCGTCAAGGCCTCCTAGAAGGAAGAAGGACGATCTTAAGAAACGGGACCTCTCACTGGACAATCTTTGCACTCCCACAACTCCGTTAGGCAGTGAGAAGTCGGCAGACCCTCCACTTCTGCCCCCGAAAGACACAAGTCCTGGCAAAACAAAGAAGTCCTTTGCGGGCGATACAATTGACATGCTGCGGAACTTCAGCTGTATGCGAGCCCAGAAAGGTGAAGCGGAAGACCTCGAGAAATCTCTTCTCGAAGAGCTTAGCCAGATGGCTGTGTCTCAGCATGAGGAAGAAGTACTTTCTGAGCCCGAGTGGGTACAGTCAGAACTGAACGAATCGCTGAAGAGAGGTGCACAAAGGGCCAAGGTTGAAAAAAGCAGTGACAACGAACTGGAACCCGAACCCATTTCCCTTTACGAAACCCCCAAGACAACTCCCACTGAGAGCGAGACCAATCTGATGAAGAAACTTGAAGAAACGGTATTGCCTCTACCAGAAAACACCATTGAGACAAACTACGCCGGGACTTCACTTTCAGCTGCATACCTGCTTCTTTCGGAAGCCACTGCAGCGTTGGAGATACCCTTAACCAATGTGATGACAACGTCAGGCGATATTTGGGCCGAAGATGGTGTCAGTTCGGTGCAAATGACCGTGTGAGGAGTCCGACTATGCAACTGACACTGACACTTCGGCTCTGCTCAAAGGAACTGTGCAGTTTTTCAACAAATACTCCCCCAGGGGCGCTACACCCCAGTCCATTTCTTCCCTGAGTGCTTCACAGAGAAATTCGAAAATTATGCCTGACCTTTCCGAACAAGAAGAGTCCGTCGAAATCAGTGTCGATGTTGAGCTTCATAAAGGCGATACCAACAAGGATGAAGTGGAGCTTCACTTCACAGAACTAAGTATGATGACGAAGAGCGACGAGAAAGGAAAACCTGGTCGTTTTTTGAGTGGCGGTACCGCCTCACCTGAAAAAGAATCAGTTTCTGAAGACACGGTTCACCTTGTGCTAGAGGAAGCCCATCTCTCCCAGATGGCATCCTCTGAGTGGACGGACGACACCGACAGAATGACGCCGTCGTCGAGGATGGGAGTGAGGGAAACAGACATTCTCAGTGACGACTCCGTCATTACGGAGATCGATCGGTCCATACTGGACAACGTCGAAGAAGTCGTTCACGTTCTTCCGGGCACAGGCGAAAAAAGCCTTGATGGCAATCGTCTTTCCGGACGTGAGAATGTTCGCAAGTGCACGAATCGCTGACAACACATTCGACGTGGAGATTCATCAAGAGCCGGAGAGCCTGGGTTTGGTGATAAGAGTTGTCGAAGATCAAGTGAACTTCACTTCTCTCACTGTGATGGAGTTCACTCCCCAACAGACGGATGCTCAGAGAGCTTACGATGACCTGGATGAGACCAGCTCTTTTGAAGATGTGGATGGTGAGAGCCGTACCGGCATCACTGTGTCGATTGTCGCCAGAAGTTTACACGACGGCATCTACGCTTCCCTCGAGGAAATCCCATGGGGCGAGGTGGAGATGACTCTTCCTGAATGCGATATCATGGGTAAGAGCGTAGAAGATGAGTCAAAGACGTCTGTTCAATTCAACGTCACCGTGTCAGAGACGAACCCTGACGAGAGGAAGTCTCTGCGTTCCCAAGCCTCGCTGGAGCAATCCCAAAACACCATATCTGAGATAGATAACACCATAAGCAACGGTAGCATCAACATACCGAGCTATGTGATCAAACTGGGATCAACCGCAACTATTACTTGCGAGCTGAACAATTACCTACCGCCGAACAGCAAAATAGACTGGTATAAGGGCACGTCACAGGTGACGACCTGCCCTGGGAAGCTGGACAGAATCAGCCACGATCTTCTTGAAGTGCTGATCATAAACAATATTGAAATGGAGGACAACGAGCTGTACAGCCTGAAGGTTAACGATGACATCTTCCCGGTGGCCTATTTGATTGTGGAAGCGCCATCAACAGAGGATATTGGCGCGACCATTCTCACTCCTCCCCAAACTCAGTTCGTCATGGAAGGACAGCCGACGGTGCTGATGTGCCAAGTGAGCCATCCAAACCAAGAAGTCGTTTGGTTGAAGGACCGGAAACCACTAAAGGAGACCGCGCGCTTACAGCTGGAGAACTCTGGGGACGGATGGAGCCGTGTGATGTTCTCGCAGACCCGGATGTCCGATCAGGGCACATATTTCGCATTTCTCGGCGAGCAGAGCGTGGCTATCACCCTCGTCGTTGAAGGTGAGTACCCTTCGCCGGGTCCCGACAAGAGGCTCGTTGCGCTACGAGAAGGCAGAGACGCAGACGGGCCAGCGGACGAGTCGCAGCGCGTTTTGTGCGATGTGGAACGTGTTATAGCACATCCTATTAACTTGACGCTAAATTGCTACAGTACGCGCTG